GGCACCACTCACTCCTCCAGCTCACTGTCATATGCATTTACAAACCCTTCCGTTCTTCATCCCCGTACCCCCAACCCTCTCCTGCAAACTCTCAACCACTCACTCTTAATTCTTCCCATGCATTCTCCTGTGTCAGAAGACTAGTGCTGGAATCTGAAATGCCCTTATTTCCTATTAAATGAAAACTCCTAAAAACATACAATTTGCATCCAGAATCAGAAAAGAAACCTCACTAACTAAACATAGGCACTGGATGTTCAGATTGATCAATATATGGATCAATGTAGTTCACTTCCTCCATCCTGTTACTCAAGATTTAAATAGCAAGCCAAATGACAGATGCCATAATAATCCTATTTTCCCAAAGCTGTCTTTTCTTTTTAAAAGCTCATTGATAAAAATGAAAAAGGGAATTGTGTAAAAGAAGAGAGTCTATACTATATAGTAAAAGGCCAGCGACCATAAGGGCATCACGACTAGAATGACTGATCGACCAATCGCTACGAGGTGCACTGACCACCTTTCAGTCCCTCCCCGCATCCCACAGGCTGTGATCGCTGGATGGCGAAAAGGGAACCAAGGGGAACCGGGGTGGGTGGTGGCGGGGCGGGACTGAGGGGGTGGGGCCGGTGAGGGGGCAGAACAGCCGACCTCTTGGTCCCTTCCCCTTCCCAGGCTCTGATTGCCCGATGGTAAATAGGGAACCAGGGGTGGGTGGCGGGGGGTATATACTAAATTTCAGCCTTTCTAGTGTTAATGATGCTTATCAACCCAGAGGAAAGGTTTGGGTGCCAGAGCTGTATCCTAGTGGATGTTTGCCAATGATCTCGGTAATCCTATGTGGGCGGTGCCAGGCCAAGGCCCCCACCCTGCTGGTCGCACCACACACAGAGGGTGACTTGGGGCAGGGGCAGGCCTGCTGAGCAGGTGGAAACGGCCAACCTCTTGGTCCTTCCCCTGGCCAGCAGGCTCTGATTGCCTGATGGTGAACAGGAAACCAGGGGTGGAGGGGGAGGGAGCAGAGGGGGGGGTGGAGCTGGCTGCTGGCAGCTGGGGAAGATGGCCCTGATCACAGGCAGGCCTAGGGACTGTACCCGTGTACGAATTTCATGTGCTGGGCCTCTAGTGATGCTATAAGTACAGAACTAAGTGGGACCCACAGCCCCATTCCTTCCTTACTGATTATGTAACTTGCACCAGTTAATAAACCTCTGAGTCCCAGTTTTCTCAACTACAAAGTGGAGATAATATATAGTAGCATGTAAGGTTGTTGTGAGGATTAAGTTAGTATGTATACATACATA